TTTGTCTACTAAATTTAAGCTCGTGGCCATTGCCTTGTCGTTTGACGTCTCTGTAGCATATTGGAACCTTAAGATTGATTCCTCTACCTCTACCGAAATCAAAGATTTTGTGCCGTAGACTAGAGAGAACGGTGTTTCACCGATACTTGACTTTGAAGTTGTTCGATATGCCCATAGGATCTTGGGCAAAATTTCTTTCCATTTTCATTTTGAGCCGATCAATCTCTTCTTCAAGTTCTGCAGTATAGTTTTGTTTTTTGACTCCACTTGACCATTCACAATTGGGTGGTAAGGTGTCGATAGAATCTTTTTGATTTTGTGGTCTTCGAAGAACTTATTAACCTTGTCGCCGATGAATTGCCTCTTGTTGTCACACGTGATCTCGGACGGTATCCCGAACCGACATATTATATGATCCCAGATGAAGTTGATGACCTCCTTTTCCTTAACTTTCTCAAAAGCCTGTGTTTTAACCCACTTAGAGAAGTAATCGCTCATAAGTAAGATGTACCGGGCTTTGCCTGGTGCCCATAGAAAAGGACCCACGATGTCCATTCCTCATTTCATGAACGGCCAAGGGGAAAGGATCGGATGAAGCATCTCGCTGGGTTGGTAGATCATCGGGACGTGCCTTTGACATTCGTTACGCTTTTTAACAAAGTCTTTCGCATCCTTTTCCATATCGTTCCAGTAATAACAACCCTGGTCAATTTTCGAACCAATGATTCTGCTCCCAAATGGTTTCCGCAAGTACCCTCATGGACTTCCCTCATCATGTAGTCGGTCTCCCCAAGACCCAAGCACCTCGCTAACGGTCCAAAGAACGCTCTTCAATATAGTTTTCCTCCAACCAAGCTAAACCTTGCAGCCTTAGTTCGTAAGGCCCTAGATTCTTTGGGATCCAATGCAATTTTCCTTTCTGAAGGTAGTCTAGACATTTGTTTCTCCAATCCCAAGTCAAGCTTATTGAGTTTACCTCGGCGTGACCTTCCTCTATCACCGAGTTCATCAATTGCACCACCGCTCCGGAATTGACTTCATTGGAGTCGACTGACGACCCTAGATTAGCCAATACATCGGCTTCGTTATTCTGATCTCGGGGTACATGTTGTAGTGTGCATTCCTTGAACTGATGTAATGTCACTTGCAACTTATCCAAGTATCTCCGCATCTGGTATTCTTTTACTTCAAATGTCCCATTGACTTGGTTAACAACAAGGAGGGAGTCTCACTTGGCTTCGATCACCTCAGTCCCAAGCTCTTAGACAGTTATAGACCTGCAATCATAGCCTCATATTCGGCTTCATTGTTAGTCAATTTCACAGTTCTAGTAGACTGCCTTATTACATTACCTGTGGGTGGTTTTAATACGATTCCTAACTCGGACGCTTTCGTGTTAGAGTCACCTTCCGTGAATAGGGTCCAGACCCCCGAACTAGTCCTCGAGGCAAGCAATATTTTTTTTCTCGACCGCTGGGATCAAGGCCGGTGCGAAGTCGGCCACGAAGTCTACCAAAATTTGAGTCTTTATAGCAGTTCGGGATTTGTACTCAATATCGTACCCACTAACCTCTACAACCCATTTTGATAATCGACTCGAAGCTCGGGCTTATGCATAACATTCCTTAGTTGATACGAGTTCACGACACATATAGGGTGACACTGAAAGTATGGTTTTAGTTTCCTAGATGCGCTTAATAAGGCAAGCGATAATTTCTCTAAGTGCGGGTACCTCGTTTCGGCATCACCTGGGGTTCTACTAACATAATAGATAGGAAATTGCTACCTTCTTCTTCCAGACCAGGACGCCACTTACCGCTACCTCGGAGACTACCAAGTAGAGGTATAATTGCTCGTTTGCCTTCGGGGTGTACAACAAAGGAGGACTTGATAAGTATCGTTTGTGTCCTCTAAATCCTATTGACATTCCGGGGTCCAATAGAAGTCGTTATTTTACTTCAGTAGCGAGAAGAATAGATGGCTCTTATCTGATGACCTAGAAACAAATCGGCCCAATGCAGCTATTCGCTCGGTCAGTCTCTATACCTCTTTGACGTTGTCAACAACGGTAATATCTTATATGGCCTTTATTTTATCTGGGTTGATCTCTATCCCTCGGTTAGATACCATGAAACCGATGAACTTGCCCGAGCCGACTCTCGAAGGCACACTTCTCCGGGTTCAGCTTTAAGTTGTATTTCCTTAGTATGTAGAAGGTTTCCTCGTCTTTGATGAATGCGTGCTTGATTTTGGATTGTGACCTCCTCTTTTGTTTGACCGGCTGGAATTTTGGATCCAAGCTCAATTTGTGAGTTGTCACCTCCGGGATCCCTGCCATATCTAAGCGGGACCAGGCAAAACTATCGGCATTAGCTTTAAGGAAATCAATGGGTTTTTTCATGAGCTCGGGGGTTAATCTCGTGCCCATGTATACTTTTCTATCCAGTAGGTGCTCGATCATTATAACTTGTTCCAGTTCCTCGATCGTCATCTTGGAGGCATCGATATCATCGGGTGCTACGAATGATCTTGGTATCCTGAAGTCGTCTTCCTTGTTCGTTGATTGTTCCTCTTGTTTCTCCGACTCGGTAGGGGTCGGGTTTAGTGATTGTTATTCGGTGCCTTTCTTTTCGACCGGCCCTTCACTTTTTGATGTCGTGATTGCGAGCACCAGGATCACTTCCTCGACATCGAACATCTCTTTTGCAGCCGGTTATTCCTCGTAGACCGTTTTGATTTCGCTTGAGGTTGAGACTTCAACGCCTGATGCAAAGTCGACGGTACCACCCTCATATTGTGGACCTATGGCCTCCCGAACAAGGCATTGTATCTCATTTCCCCCTCGATTGCATAAAATTTTATTTCTTGGGTAATCCTGGCCGTGTTGACCAGTAGGGTTATTTCACCCTTCGTTGTCTTGCATGCCATGTTGAACCCGTTTAATACCCGAACTTCCGATACGATTTGGTCCAATAACCCCAGTTGTTCCATGACTCTCCATCGGATGATGTTGGCCAAGCTACTTGGGTCAATTAACACACGCTTAACTTGAGATTTATTAATAACTACGGACATTACCGTTGCATTGTTTTGAGGTTAAATTATTCCCTTGGCGTCCTCGACGCTGAACGAGATGGACCCCTCCGGAACATAGTCCCGAGTGCATTTTTCTCTTGTGATGGAAACTTTGGTGCGTTTTATCATTGGAACTTGAGGGATGTCTACTCCTCCGATGATCATATTGATCTCCTGCTGAGGTTCTTCCTGCTCAATTTGTTTGTTGGCGTCCCTATTTTTGAAATAATTTTTGGCTCGCTCACTTAGGAATTCCCGAAGATGCCCATTGTTGAATAGAGCCACTTCTTCCCTTAACTATCTACAATCCTCGGTCCTGTGACCGTGAGTACCATGATATTTACATATCAAGTTGTGATCCCTCTGTGCGGGGTCGGACAGGAGTGGCCTTGGCCATTTGGTCTCCTTGATGCGGCCGATAGCTAATACTATACTCGTCGCATCCACGTTAAAGTTATATTCTGATAGTCTCGGGGCCTTTCTGCCCCTGAGTGATCTATCAAAACTGTTTCTACTCATCAAACCTCGGTTGCTTGGACCTTGGTCGCCTCACCTATCGTTCCTGGTCGGGTGGCGATTGGCTCCATTTCCCCTTCTATCTGACTTGTATGGTTGGTATCGATCTCGAGGTGGCCTCGGCTCCTGATCCACAATTCTTTTAGACCTATCATTCGCTCTGTTGGGGTAAACAGACCCTGAGGGGGCTCCCAGGTGGTCATCCTCAACTCCGATCTTTGACCGGTACCTGTTGTGAACATCGGCCCAGGTAACAAGTTCTGCTTCAATTGTTGAGAAGCAACCGAACTTCGGGGGTTGAATCCTTGGGTAAACGCCTGAACGGCCAATCATCTGCAACCGGGGGCAGGTCCATCCGTTCCATCTTGAACCTCGACACGAACTCCCTAAGCATCTTGTTTTCCCTTTGCTTGACTTTGAACAGGTCTGATTTCCTCGTTTCAACTTTGATAATGCTGGCATGGGCTTTAACGAATGCATTTACAAGCATATAGAATGTGGAGGTAAGTTATGGTACGTCCGATTTTTGGTGCGTCATTCGACCCCCCAGGCTCTAATCTATAGGAGCCCTCTGTTTCACCCGAGCATGCGTTGAACCATGTTGCTTCTCGTTTCTTCATCGGGAAATTTGGGGTAACTTTATCCCCAACTTTACCCGTACACAATTGTATTCCTAATATCAGAGATGATTAACAAATAAGAATAATTAACTCACGGAAATGACTGAACTGAGATATATGGATTGTTATGTGTCATTTTATTTCGATAAAACAAATCAATGAATGGGTTAAAAGCTAAGACTGCTCATCACATATTAAAAGCAGGGAATAGGGGGAAAAAACAGTCAAGATGTTAAAACAGCCAATACTTAAGTTGAATCGTTCACGTATTTTGTTATCCTAACAGACGTCCTTCACAACATTATAGTAAGTCGTTTGGTTGGTGGGATAAGGAATAAAATATAGAACTATCTTATTTCCCATTTGGTTGAATTTTTGAATCACGACAATCCCGGGATTATTTAATCCCGAGATAAAATACTAAAATGACAGAGCCCTTCTTTAAGTCCCTTCTCCCAAAGTCTTTTAAAAAATTCAACATTAAAATTAGAAATAAAAGTTTAAGTAGAAATTAGAATTTATTCCAACTTATCTAGTGTAATTACAACTTGTATATCTTATTTTTAGTCTAATGAACCAAACATCTATATTGACTAAATAATTCCATCACTATTTCATCTCTATAATGTAATCATGTCACTATAATCCCAGTATAATTTGTTCCCAAACAAACAACCCAAAGATTGTCTTTTGCTATGACAAAATCATGTCAATACTAATGTTAAGCCACTGATTACGAAATCCAGATTATAACATAACATGAACACAAACACAACACAACACAAGTCAAAACATGAACCAGCCAATCCTTTGCAACTCCAATCACAACAAGGGAGAGAACAAAACAGCATCTTTCTAGCTGAGAACAAAAACACATGATAATATAACATCAGCGAAGTTACTTGAAAACAGGATAATGAATTGTCAGATTAAATCAAACGGGGAAGATATTCATCATTGGATCAACTTTTATAAAGTTTATTCGCCACAAATAATTATGAAATTTGCTCCCCAAGCGACATTAGGGACAGCTGTTCGTCAATAGAACAATCCACATGACATGTTTTCCGGCATGAGGAAGGGATTAAAATGAGACCAAGAAGCCGTTGTTCCATCGGGGAAGGAGCAGATCTTCGGGTGCTCCGGTACTCAACTGCATCTTGAAGAATTATGTTTCCTTGCTTATCAATACAATAAAACGTACCTAGAAAGAACCTCCCATCACTTATACCAACCAGCATTCGTCGATGTAGTAGCTTCTTGACATGAGAAACATAACTTGAATTGTTAGCCTCTAACTGATTTGAGTTTCCAACTTCAGGTAGGTATACCTCTGGTTCCTTGGTGCTCATTTTAGTCCAATTAAGGAAACTCGAAGTATTAATGTTTTAAATTGTGTAATTGCAGCTTCAGCATATGTTAAGAGAGAAATAGCATAAACTCCTCTTCCCTGCAGAAAATTAAGCCAGGAAATCAATCAATGAAGGGGGGGAAAATCTTGGGCCGCATTTTCACCTTTTACTTCTGAAAACCAATGAAGATACATTATCAGGAGAGAACTCAAATTAAAACTCTTGAGTCTAGATGAGTATATGTTTTGTTATTTTCTCATCCCCTCCTCTCACCAACAATAAATTTAAACTTGCAATCGCAATCAAGATGCCGCGATTTTTCACTTTTCATTCTTTGTTCTTTTCTTTTCTTTGTTTTTCTTTTGGGGGTAGGGGTGGGGGTGCCACTGGGAAAAGTGGAAATAGGCATGAAATTGTTTATCCTTATCACTAGTAAAGATATCCAGAATAAGGTACTTAGGGAAATAAAATTGATCATGGAGCCGAGGTTCTTCCGGAAACAGCCTCTCTACCTTCACAAGGTAGGGATAAGGACTGCGTATATACTACCCCCTTAGACCCCACTTGCGGGAGTACACTGAGTATGTTGTTGTTGTTGTTGAAAACAAAGGAATAGTGAAAGACAATATGGTGGGGAGCCATTGCACAAACCAGTCAAGCTATGACCCAAAGAAGTCCACTTTGAATCGAGAACATCCCACTATGGTCACATACTGAACTTAGAACGAAGCAATGAATAGCCGCTGAGAGGATACCAATATATCACTCTTAGTTTCAGACAAGAGCAAGGTATAATAACCCCCCCCAAAAAAATGGCTTAAAACAGAACCATCCCCTTCAAACTAATTGATGATATATTCCAATTCCGTGAATCTAACTCCTTGCTATTTCATCACTTTATCAAAGTAGACAACATCAATTGTAAACATAAAATGAACATTTTGATACTAGTCTCCCATTCATGTTTAGCCAGTTCTGAGGGTGTCATCAATTTAAGCTATTCCACCAAAACTAACAGCCCTACTCAAATGTAGCTGAATGAAATATACACAACTAGAATTCCAAGCAGGATAAAGTGATGCATTGAACGATCTCTGGATCTAATCTTTTACATGATCAGTAAAAGCCATTTCCTATAAAATTGAACTTACTCCTGCAGGGCTACTTGTCGCCTAGGACTACGGACAAAACCCCAGCTATGTTTCAAATGGAACTGACAAAGAAAAAGATAAGAATTCCTTTTTGAACGAATTCTACATGAAATAATGAAACATTACAAACTACTTTAAAAACTATTTGAATTCGACATGAAAAATTATAATCTACTTAAAATACTACTCCTACTAAATTCTTCATGAACGGAATTTCCAGAAATAACCTATCCATTCTATCGATAACACAGATGGATTTGGTGTATCATTAAAAAACTAAAAAGGAAAAAAAATAGCTCAGTTACTTGAATACAACTAAAGATGCTAATGAAGAGAGAGAAGTCATAGGACAATTTGAACTAAGAACCATAGCTAAACGTATTGACTTTTAGTGATCCAAGAGGGCCATTTCCCGATTCTGTGACCCATTCCGACTCGATATGGATTGCAATCTCGAGAGAGTGAACAACAATTGACCTCCGACAGTAGGAGATGGGGTGGACTATGATGGATACAGTGAAATCAATCCCCCCCCCTCTCTCTCTCTCTCTCTCTCTCTCTCTCTCTCTCTCTCTCTCTCTCACACACACACACACACACAGAGAAACCATGAATTTTTCAAAGCGGGCTGGCCATACAGTGCCCAAAAGTATGCTCAAGCCCAAGCTAGTCGGGATCTGCCATCTGAATCCTCATTATCAATGTCGCACCACTATGGCTTGTCTCAATCCAATATTCAGTAATTTAGGTTCTCTAACAAGAGTATAAGGCTCCTCGTCAAAAGGACCAAATACAGTGTACTCTCTAACAATTACAAATAGACTGATTACATCAATTAGTAACTTACTCTCTAGCAGACCAACTTTAATTGAAAGGCCAGAGGGAAAAAAATAATTTTAGATTTAATGGGAATGTTAAACACAATTAATATCAGATACGGAGGGATTAAAAAAAATATTTTGTGCCTTATGCTTTTTCTCATTTTCAATCAAGAAAAATGTTCATAAATTTGAATTACCAGTACAGTAATATTCAAAAGGTACATTAGCACAGAATGAATAAATCATTGCCATCATTCAAACAATTAAAGACAGGAATTAGGGTTTCAAAGGAATGTAGAGGGAAAGATAGAAAGGGAACTTACAGCTGTACGTTCTCTGTTGTTTGAAGTTTGAGGCAGGTAAAAGCTTTCGGGTCAATCCTTCAAAAGACCCTCAGAATTTTCCGGTCTAGCTAATGAGCTATGGCAATAAAGCTACTTTAAACTTCTATGCGAGCAAAGTACACAAATAGTCTTTCTTATATGGACTGGTCCAAATCCGACCCGTTAACCAAACTCTGTGTAAAAATAGCTCTGTTTTGTCATTCCAAAATATCCAGCGTTTGCAAAATCATTGAAAAATAGTCATTATTTTGCTGTAACACAGAAAGTTCAAGCATAATATACTGGAGATTGGTGCACCTGCGTATGAACTTCCAGTATATTATGTTGGGACTCCAGCACGCGGAAAGTTTCAGTATAATATACTGGAGATTAGAGCACCGGTGTTCCAATCTCCAGTATAATATACTGAAATTCCAATATATTATACTGGATTATTTTTCCGGATTTTGAACAGTATTTACGTTCAGATTTATCTTTACATGAAAAGTGGCTAAATTTCTATTACTTTTGAAACTGTAGCTATTTTTGAATGACCACTTGTAAAATGGCTATTTTTGAATTTCTCCTTGACTCGGCCCCTGAACCCCCAACACCTATACCCAGGGCCCTACTGAATAAAGAATCTAATATTTTAACTTTTGTGTTATAATTAGGGATAAAACATAAAATTCTCCCCGACCTATGACTATATTATCAACTATACACCTTTTCTTTTCGGGGGTTCTATTACCCCCCTACCCCCCCCCCCCTCCAAAATTAGTTCAAAGTGTAATAAGCACCACCCTAAGTGCTAACGTGGCATAGAGAGTGTGCACACTCTCTTAAGGGCAAGTGGAAGTTACAAAAATAATTTTAAAATTGATTAACAGGTACAAGTGTCATCTTTTGATTGGACATTACATAATTAATTACATCTAATTAATTAGTCTCCTTCGTCTTCTAAACCTCTTCGCGCACGAACAGGGGGACATCGTTTCAACGGCGAAATGCCCGAGCGAAAATCTAGTACAACGCAAAATCAACCTAGAAATCAAAAGCAGATATGTTTAATAACAGAAACAGAGCTACAACTAGAAGGAGCAACGAGAATGATTCAGCAAGAACTTACGAACAGTCAAAACGGTCAATAACAATGGAGTTTCGTTGGAGCAAAGGTCTTCGTCGGAGTTTAGTTCTTTGGCTAGATCTGACAATATCAAACAAGTATTATATAAAGCCCATCAAAAACTCAGTTTACTGGAGAATTAAGATCTCATCGTATGCGACAAGTCGTGATAAAAACAGAGATCGGGAGGGACATCTAACGTCTAACAAGTTCTGGCCACTGAAATGAAAAATGATTGAAAAATTAGGAAAGAGAAAAAAAGAATGTTTAAGAAGTTTAATAGTGGAGCTCAGATGAGGCTTTTCCCTTTTAGCCAGATATGGTAATGAAGGTCTACAAATAGGAAAATAAGGAAGAAGGAGAAAACGGCAAAAATAAGTTTTTAAGTAAGAAATACACATTTTAGGCGCGTGTATTTCACCACTTTGCACGCATCTGGTTATAGCTTTTTAAGGGGTAAATAATTTTACTTTAAAATAGTTTAGGAGGGTAATAGGACCCCCGAAAAGAAAAGGTGTGTAGTTGGTAATATGATCATAGCTCGGGTCGGATTTTGTGCATTATCCCTTATAATTAAGTAAAAATCCTTACAAAATAACAAAAAACATAACAAATCATCGAAAAACTTACTTTTACTACTTTTTCAAATTTGAATTCTGAACTTCTTAAGAAAATGCACATTTTATTTCTAACAATTGAATTTGAAATTGAATAACATAAGATTTTAAAATACATAAGAAAAAAATAAAAGTAATACAATATCTAATAATAAATGATAAAAATTTCAGACTTTATACATATAAGAACTTGAAAGTGATACATGAATTCATGAAGTCAATTAGAATTTTTTTTTTAAAAACCATATTTTATTAACATTAGAATATCAGAAACATACGGAATTAGAATATTTTATAACTAATAGTCTAATACATAAGAAAAATGAGAATGAAGAGAGGGAGGGGATTTAGGAATTGGATTTGGCGTAAATCTGCTATTGAAAATGGGAAATGAGGGTTGAGTGGATTTAATTTCTTCTTTTTTATTTATTTTTCAAAAAAAAATAGCTTACTGGGTCGGGTCGAGTCGGGCCAGTTGACACGTGGCTCAGCTACCGAGGCCGATCCAGTTCAATGGGTCAAAATATTGCAACCTGGCCTAGTGTCCTTGTTCTTTATAAGCATTTCATTCTTAACCAATAAATATATTTATCGAATAAGTATCTACGTTACTGAGTCTGAATGGAACAAAATTTTGACCTGAAAAATCTTTCTCAAACCTTCTTAAAATAATAGTATTAACAGTTGCTAAACAAAATACTTTAGCATCGAACATGTATTTCATAAACTGTAAGTATCTACTAAACAAAGACTTAAGAATTCAAACTCACTAAGCACTTCTAAAGAAAAATCAGCAGCAGCAATGTAAAGTAGGGGTGTTCATAAAAATCCGAAAAATCGAATCAAACCGAAATCAGACCAAACCGATCAAAAAAAACGATATTTTTTGGTTTGGTTTTGGTTTTGAATTTTAAAAACCGATCAAATTTGGTTTGGTTTTGGTTTTAATCAGGAAAAAACCGGAAAAAAAATCGAACCAAACCGACTATAGGAGTAGCTATTTCAAATTTATTATTACACCTATATATATGTATATTTTTATACAAAGTTTCAAAAATTTAATGGTAAATGTTAATAGTTTGCACTTTTAGTATAGTTCTTTACCTTTACATTCTAGTTTGATTGGTAGTTTTCTTTTGTTAAGTGTAAGAATCCATTTCGTGTTAAAAAATAATATATGTTTAATTGAGTCCTTAAATTATTCATCACTATTTGATTCAATTATCATCAATATATCTTAGTAAATAATAGATTTCTCAAAGGGCAATTAATTTGATAGTGTTACGTTGAAAATGTGATCGCCGGAATATGTGTTTGGTAGTGTATGTCTTATATTTAAAAAAAACGACAAATAACCGAAAAAATCAAAAACCCGACATAAACCGAATCGAGAAAAAACCGACTTAACTGGTTTGGTTTGGTTCTGATATTTGAAAAACCGACTTACTTGGTTTGGTTTCTTTTTAGGGAAAAACCGCTCCAAACCGAACCATGAACACCCTAATGTAAAGTTTGTCAAAATTTGCTAGGTTTGAAATAAACTTATAAAAATTGGCTATGCTTTAAATGGAGCCATTGAAATGGCTACCTAGTGCCACTGAAAACTTTTACTAATATATATTACCCCGTTTCCCT